AGAGAGAGAGAGAGAGAGAGAGAGAGAGAGAGAGAGAGAGAGAGAGATATCCCCCCTGGATGTCTATGATGTTGTGCCAGCTCGGGCAGAGGTGTGTGATGGAGGTGGTGCTGCTGACCATCCTGTCCTGGGTGTCCGTGTGGGCGGAGGAGAAGATCATATTTGACAGACACGCTGTCTACTGGAACAGCTCCAACCCCAAGTGAGTTTTAGTGCACTTAAGTGTGTGTGTGTGTGTGTGTGTGTGTGTATATATATATATATCGCCCTCTCTCAAATAATGATAAACATATCCAGCATGCAGGCTGAGCCTTTTCTCTTTTTTTGACTGTCTGAACACATCACTCGTTTTCCCTCCATTTTATTCTTTCTTCCAGTTTCAGCAGTGTTTTGGCTGACTTTTGCAATATTGATGTCGTTTGCAAATGAGCAAACAAGTCACACACACACACCAACACACAGGCGCAAGTGGAAGTGTGTGTGCGTGCAAGTAGATATTTTGTTCTGTGGCACATGGAGCCCCTTTTGTCTTAGGCAATGAGGGCAGCCTGCCTCCTCTTCTCATCATGTCTAGAGATTTTCCTCTCTCTCTTTCTCTCTTCTCTGTCTCTCTCTCTCTCTCTCTCGCCCAAACACATGCACACAAACACATGCACACAAACACATGCACACAGCCTTTACCTTTCTTTTCCTTTCAATTTCAGCCACTTGAGCCAGTAAACATGAGTGCACATTAATTGCAAGCACTTGCATGTGCAAAAACCACATCCAAACAGAAATAAACACAAAGGAAGATGTAAACACACACATTCACACACGTGCACGAGGCTGCACATGCACATGCATTAACACACACACATGGTTGCCTTTAGCTGGGACTCTCTCATTGACATGGGGCAAAGCACACTGGGTCCGTCTGGCTAATAGTTTGTGACAATCTCTCTCTCTCTCACCCCTTATTCTTCTTCTCTCTCTCCCTTCTTTTTCTTTTACCCTCCCTCTCCCTCCCAGGTAGATAAATAAACAGTGAAAGTGCTCCCTCTCGCTCGCTCACAGCTGAATTAGTCAAAGCTAACGGCCCTGTCTCTCTCTCTGCATCAACCAAACACACACACACACACACACACTGAGCTAACAGGCCTGCCTCTGACTGCATCACTTCCACAGAAGGCTTCTCAAATATTTAACAGGCAAGGGGAAACATTTTCTCTCTTTCTCTCTCTCTCTCTTTTTCCCTTTCTCTCTTTCTTTTCGTCTCTATGTGCTCCTTCTTTCACACCACACACACACACACACACACACACACACACACACACAAAAACACCGACACGTTGCAAACGTCACAGGGTAAATTAAAGCTATATGGAAGCTTGCTGGGGGCGCTGTTATTCGGTCAGGGTCGTACGGAGAAGCTGAAGCAGAAAGGGGGCACATCAAAAATGCATTGCTACTAAAGCAATGAATCTAGGCTCTGGAGCCCTGGCGAGGTTGGGTCTCGCTGTTAGACCCTGGCACTGTCATTGCTCATGCTGCGCCTTTTTCTGCACACACACACACACACACACACACCTCCGTCCCGCTGCACTTGTGAGGACCTTCCAATGACAATATTCATTCCTCAACTTTAATCTAAAGATAATTCTCTCTACAAACTTTGAGTATTACTGCAAGTTTTCTTTTCTTTTTTTTTTTTTTTTTTAAACTAGCCCACTGGCAAAAGCAGATGATAAGGCAGACACATCATCCCAGTTCATGTTAAATGTAGAGGACAAGTCTGGTTTATTAAAACCTGAGTTTTATTTAAAAGGTTTTGAACATAATATATGATTTTATTCGCCCAAGCTTCTTGCTGTGATCTGGGAATACTGCAAAATTGCAAAAAAGAAAGAAAGAAATAGAGCCAGAAATACCACCAGACGATACAAGCAATAAAAAATGACAGTAAGTTATTCCCCAAATTGCATCAGTGGAGGAAGTAACATCCAGTAGGCTTCAAATACACAACATAAAATGTCTGTATTCAAAATATTACCAAAGTAAAAGCACAGAAGTACTTAAAAGTTTCAAAAGTACTGGAGCTGCAGAAACATGGCTTCTGTGACTGATATATTATTATTACGTTGTTAGATTGTAAATACTGATGCATCAATGTTTTACTGTTGTAGCTGGTCGAGGTGGAGCTAGTTTTAACTACTTATATGTATGTATATATATATGTATACTGTAGTTCATTGGCTCCCAAACTAGAGGTCCGAATAGTCACAAAACTAATCTGACTAATCACACGTCCGAAAGAAACTATAGTGTTGTGATGGAAGTGTGGAGGATCAGTAAATGCTGCTGGAAAGATGTGTGTCTCCATCTGTTCTTCAAGGACTAGCACCACTCATCACACTAACGCTGAGAGGTGCCAGACGTCTAGTATTCGGGAGTAGAAAGTTCATACAAAAATATTAAACTCAGTGCACTTTCGTGCGTGCATCCTTCTATGGCACATTTGATGTTAACGAATATATATTACAGATGAAGTGCAAATATTTCTAAAAGCTCTTACTTGTCAACCTATTAATACACTGGATGGCGATTTAGGCACCGGGGACTGATGAGAAGCTCAGAGACTATGCAAGAATAATGAATCGCATCCAGACTGCAGCCATTGTCTGAGGCGGTGAAATGGCACAAACATCTGGGGAAATGAACAGCTGTGTGTCTTAATTGATCACAGAACATCAAGCACACAGCTTGTATTGAGCTATCAGGATGTGTCGTCTCTTCTTGTGTTCATCAAAAGTTTTGCTCCCACCAAAAAACAGCTTGAGAAAGGACGTTCGCTGCAAGGTCACACAAGTACCGACTTGATTTGTAGAATTGATAAGCGCTGGCTGTTTTGTACTCCCGGTGAAAAACGTTCTGTGTTTTTTTTGAGGAAGGTAGAGAGGAAAGCTGTTTGAAGTGACAAGTCACAACACAGTGGAGGGATATGCAACTTTCCAGAGATAGTTCCAGAAATAAGGCTGGCGACGTCAGATTTACTGCAGTCATTCTCTTAATCCAACTCTATAAGCAGCCATAATCAATATTTTAGTATTTACAATACATCATATCACTGCATGTGATGTGAAAGGGGTCTCTTGTAGTGATGAACCCACAGAGAATTGTAATCTGACTCTGCAGTTCCTCTCAGCTTCACAGAGTGCTTAGCATCTTTCGGCTCAGTCTTTAAGCAGCTAAAGAGCCAGATATGAGTGGTGAAGACCAAAACACAGGAGTGTGAATATTGCATTTAGATTGGCCAGGTGGCCAGAGACACGACTGGAACCGAGCGCTAATGTTTTATTTAATTGTTATTTTAATGTACAGTTAATATTCTCCTAAAAACACCAGTCCAAAACCGCAAAACCACGCAGAAATTTCTAGTAAATATGCAAAAACATTACCTATAAGAAAGTACAGAAGAAGGTTTTGTTGGTTAGTTCATTAAAAATAGAGGTTTACTCTTGTGTTTCTATTTTTCTATTTTTTGTTGCTTTTTGTTGTATTATAAAAAGCAAGATGCGGTCTTGTATTTGTCTTTCTCTCGGTGAATTTAATTTTGTCTGTGGTGCTCAGAGCATTGAAGAAAATTTCATTCAGACATTTTCATCAGCAACATTTTTTTTCCAAATTATTCTTTTTCAATGTTTCGAGCACCACAAATTAAATTATAATCATCCCGATCGTTTGGGAATGACAGAAAGAATTTCAGGAAGGGATATCTTAAAATCTCAGCCTAAGAAAAACGGGAAAATGTCGTTTGAGTGAACTGACCCATCAAGGACTGACACTTCCCAGTGGCCATAGCAGACACTGGTGCTACATATTTCACCAATATTGCTAATATTTTAAAGTTACTTCCATTAATATTTGTCTACTTCCTCTCTGACAACCTCGGTCTTCCTTGCTCTACTTTTCTCTCGCGTGCTTTTCTGACACTACTCACCATCCACATGACGTGTTTTAATTGTTTTTTGACTTGCCAATTAATTGTGCTGCCAGGTCTGTCTGAGTACCTTGATCTCCACGAGACTAACCTGGATAAGTCCAGATAAATAAAATGAGTGAAACATATGTTCCTTCTTGAGAGAGGAGGCATACTACAAATTGGCCAAACCCTTTATATCAAGGGCTCTGGCTCTCAGCAGGCCTATCTCTTTCAAGGCCTTGCTGGATAATAGAAAATGTATGAGATAATCCAATTCAAACAGCTCCGGCCACTTTTGGTCACGGCGGGGAGGAGCACTCACACACACACACACACACACACACACACACACTAACACACTCAAGCCGTTTTCTCATTCATCATTTCTCAGAGTGTTGTCCGTCCCCGCGTTGTGATGAGATACGTGGTGCCGCACGGTAACAAAGTACCACAACGCACATCATCACGACAATAGTGCAACACTGGAACAGCATCTGGAAATCTCCCAGACCCAAATACAGGGATCTAAGTCACACGCAGGAATTGAGTACAGTAGTTACACACACGTGTGTGTGCACAAACACGAGAGGCGGCTCTCGATGTAGGTCACAAACTCACACACACACAGTCACACAACCGGAATGGCTGTCCAGGCTTCAATTTTTCTATTTACTGTCATGTACACACACACACACACACACACACACACACACACACACACACACACAAGGGAAGCTAGATATGGGACAAATGCACATCCACCCAGACTGGCTCTCTATTGAGTAAAAGCCCATCCTTTTTCCTCTTGTTGGCGGGTACACAAGCGTGCACGCACTGAGCCCCCCCCCCCCCCCCCTGGCTCCCAGGCCCGTATTATAAAGCTCACAGGTGAGGGGCTTTGTTCACCCCGAGCAGCTAATGTGCTCAGAGCAATGGGCTCTCCTCCTCCACACACACTCACACACACATATACTGGCTCAATAGTCCAGAAGGAGCACCTTATCTAATCCCATGGTTTATCCTTCAAAAGACTTTCTTTTCCTTTTCTTCTTTGTTCCTCCCCTCTCTTCATCTCTGCGTCTTTGAGGAACTCCGTGTCAGGGAGAAGCGCTGATGGTTGACGACACTTTCATTCTATGGGACAGAATCTATCTCCTTGGAGACACGCACACACACACACGCACACACACACATCCTTTGAGGAAGTCTCATGCACGGATCACCCACACACTCAAACTCAT